TTAAATATAGCGACAAACAACCAAACAAATTTATGGAGTTTGTTATTTGGCTTAGATTTGTTAATAAATAACGAGCAGCTAGCAGAGATTCACTAATCATATTACGAAACAAAGGTGGAATGATCTGCTTTATATAATCAAAATGATACAGACCTCACAACTCAAATTATGTGAATTTTTTTATAAATAAAAACTAATGATAAATAAAAGAGTAAATTGCAGATAATCCCCTCCACCTTTTATCTTCAATAACGATAATCCTCCACGAGTCATCTATTAGCACTAGCACCCCGGATTGCTAATTTAGAAAGATAAATTTCAGGTAAAACCCCTCTCCGATCTGACTGGGGGGACTAAGTGCTAATAAATAAGTTGAGGGTATTTACCTGCTACCGAAGGTACAGTTGAAGGGGTTATCTGCAATTTACCTTAAACAACATGACCAATCTGTATGATATGATCATCTCTCCTGTAAGGTGGGAAAAAAAAAGGAGGAGGAAAGAATTCAGCCTTTCCTGATGTTAACAGATAAAATTAAAGCCGTGCACGGAAAAGAGCCAAGCCTAACATTTCATCACAAAGCAAAACAAAGAAGAGAATTTTCAGAAACCCCCAAAATATGTGATGTGCATGTGACTCAAAATTGGCAAAACATACCTATCCACCTTCATAAATTTCTTACTCCATGAAAATAAACCTGACAAAACAATTCAGAGTACAGTTGCTGACAACTGACATTGCAAGATCTCTGATTAAATAAAAGATAAGGACTAACACATTTTAAAAACAATTCTTTTGCATATAACTACGCATGCAAAACAAAAAACAAAAGCACAACTTTATCACATTGATCTTGACATATCATTCATCTACAAACAAAAAACAAACTCCTAAGTTCATACCACCCTACTAGTAAGTAGTAACATAGAAATAGCAAATTGGTAACTTATTGCATGAGCAAACTCCTAATTATCGCAGCCTGAGCACTGTCCGTGGTGGCCAGAAGCACGGAGAGCCTCTCACTCAAGTCATCCACTTCTTGATGCAGATTCCTTATGTAGTTACAAGTATCTTGTAAAACCCTAGCTGCTGGCACCTACACGGACGCCAAATTTCATGACTAGCTCAGTGAATAGTAGATAATTCGGTGAAAAGTACCAGTGACTTCATCATCCTGATAACTTAACCATATTGTCCTAACATAAGATGGCCTCATACTTTTTGCATACTGGTTAATTGATATCTAGTTACTGAAGTATTTTTTTACATATGCAAAATTTGGACAACTATTCTACACAGTTGGAACATGTATCATAGCACACTAAGAATCTGTGTCTTACCCTATCGCTTGTGTGCATGCGAGCTTCAGGAAGCACAGCGCGCAACTTTGAGACTAGATCGACGATCTGGTCTTCAGAAATCCTCGAAGAAGAGCCCGACTGCCTAGATCTCGATCTTCGGCTAGACATAACGGGAATCTGCGCAATTTAAATAAAGACAAACAAAATATGTGTTTGGAGAAGAGAAGTTTGAGGAAGAGAAGATGAGAAAGCAAGCAAAGGAGGAAGACAAACTGGTGCTGATGAAGAGGAAGACAAGTGCATGGGAGAAAGATATTAGGCAAGCTGTTGTATTTAAATAGGGTCTTTGTACAGAGAGTTAGAGAGAGAGAGAGAGAGAGAGAGAGAGAGAGAGAGAGAGAGGAGAGAACAGAGAGAGAGAGAGAGAGAGAGAGAGAGAGAGAGAGAGAGAGAGAGAGAGGAGGGAGAATCAAATCTAGGGATACCTCTCCCACACTGTCCTGTTGCTTGAGGAAATATATTAAAAGGGGGTTTGTGGAGCAGAAATGCTGAGCTTTGGAGATCAGGAGAGTGTCACTTAACAACACGCAGTACCATGTTATCTCACCACTTTAAAATA